CCGGAAGACTTTGACGAGCTCTCCTCCCAGAGAGCTGCATTTGTCTTCCGTCTCGGTGGCGATGTCCAGTGCTGATCTCATGCCAATGCTGGCGTGCTCGACTTTGGCATCTAGCAGCCTGGAGGAACAAGAACAAAAGAGTGTTTTAGCTAGTGAAAATCTATCTTCGGACAAGCGGTGGTTACCTCAGGTTTGCGTACGTTGCGGAAGCGATGTGATCCATCCGGCTCTCCAGCGCAAGCAATCTGTCAGTGGCCTCCATGCCCAGGCCCGGCTTTGTAGTATTACCGGCTGCTTTCTGCTGCTCCGAGCTTGGATCCATCATATCTGTCAAGGGCTTTCGTTGCTCGATCGAAGCCAGCCTGCCGCTGATTTCCATCACCAGTTTCGCGGTTGCCTCGTACCTTGGCAGCCAGAAGTTGGCAGCTTTCCTCAGCGCCTGGTTTCCTTTGCGAGCGTCGTCGATGGACCGGCTGAGCCCCTGCTGCACGGTCTCTAGCCTGTGAATCCGGTCGTTCATCTGGCTCATGATCCCTGCCGCGGCTTTGATCTTGTTCTCGATGCTTGTCACACTTGGCATAAAAACCTCGCTGCTGGACTTGAGTTCCTTCTTTGTCCCAGCCTTTGAAAGTTTCTTGCCACCTCCTGGTGTCTTCCCGCAGGAAACGCTTGTCAACCTCTCGAAGACTTCCTTCATCTGACGATTCAGGCGCTGCACGGTGGTCTTCAGGTGGCGTTCTTGCTTTGGTTCATCACCGGATAGCTCGACCACGTCTCTCCCGCCGGCCTTCTCTTTAGCACTGACAATCTGTGAGAGAAACGTCCCGAACGTTTCCTCCAGCATCTCTTTTGTCCGCGAGGCTGCTGCAATCGCATCTGTGGCAGCTGAAGTTGCCAGAGACCTCTCCCGTTCAATCAAAGCCATAGTATCGCCTGGAGTTGTCGATAACGTCTGCTCAGCAGCTTCCAGCCTGTATACTCTGGTCTGGAGATCGCCTATGCAATCTTGAGCTGACTCTATCCTGCACAGCCTTGTCCGCAAGTCCTCTAAGCAACCGGTGTAAAGCTTCGAAAACTTCTCAACCTTTTCCACCATCAGGAGATTGCTGGCAAATTCCACTGGCAGTCCCGTACCCGAACCTTCATATTTCTCGTCAAAAGACCTCCGCCTGGGATACTCCCTTTCTGACTGCTGCCTCTTTAGAACTTCGACGTCCACCTTCATCTCCTCTTGTTCTCCTCTTAGCTCTATCAAGTCGTGCCTGAATTCTTTCACTTGAACCTCGCATTCTTTTATCCACACTTCGGTGTCGACCCTCGCTTCCATAACCTCTTGCTTGGAGCACTGCAGCCGCTTCCGGAGTTGCAGCTTTTCAAACTTCTGGTCATCGCAAAGCCTTTCGAAGTCCCTGTGTAATGAGGTAACATCAGCGCGCAGAGCATCCACCTGCTTAGTCACATCATTCGGTGCCGGTGCTGCTTGTGCGCCATTCTCAAACCTTTGTTTCTTTAGAGTGTTGATCTGTTGCTGGCCACCTATTCTTCCCATCTCGACGTCGATCAGCATCGACTCGTATCGAGAAGCCATTTCCTGTCGAAGATTATCAACGTCTTTGGAGAAACCGATTTCTAGATTGCTGATATCGTTCTTGAGATCCGTTCTTACTTCACTCAAGGAATCCAGAAACCGCTCCTCCAGCCCCAGCGTAAGCATCTTTTGCGTCTGTGTAACAAACTGATTCACCTGTGTCCTAAACTCTTCAACCTCTCCCGAAGATGTTTGCATCATGTCTTCAAACTTTTGTTTCACGTTCGCTTTCTTCCGCAGTTCCTGATCTTCCCCAGAGACCCCGCATGCTTTCTTCATATCCTCTTCCACCTGACGCTTAAGCCCGGAAAAATCATTCTCTGTTTCATCCTTCATGAGCTTCAGCTTCCTTTCCAAAGTCTCCGCCCTCCCTCTCCACCTTTTGCCTTCTTCCTCGACCCGTGACCTCAGCCCTTCCATCGAGTCCCTCAACTGCATGACTATGGTCTGGAGGTTCAAGAATCTTCCCTCGAGACTCAAGTTTGTGGCCTCTGCTATCTGTTGCATGAGCTGCGTTCTCGTTGTGCTCTCGGTGTCCAGCGATGTTGTATCATGCCTCTCCACCTTCCTTCTAATGTCCAGCGTTATCTCGTTGGAAGCTGTGATCTTCAAACTCCTATCAGGTACGCGCTCGTCATCTTGCATATCATCACTAACTTGACCATCTGAAGAAAGCGAGGCTACTTCTGCCACGTTATACAAGAAGCGAGAGCTTGACTCCTTCGACGAGCGGCTCCCTGAAAGCTGCCCTGCATTACAGTGAAAGCATGAAACGAGAGAAGAAGAAAAAGAAAACATAGAACCTTTGGCTTACCCGCCAGAGGTTGCGGTGGTCGTTTCTTCAGCCTCGCTGAGAAGCATGGAGCCGCATCATAAAGCTTTCGAACAAACCTCGCCCATACGTGCTGTCTCTTGCCAACATTCTTCTCATGCCTTGCAACAAGCTCCTTGCGATTGAAAGATCCCGACTTCCTGTAACCTGCCAAGGAGCTAGTTGACGTGAGCTCCTCCTCGAGCTCTTCTATCCTCTCCCGGACATCAGCCATGTAGTCCTCCAAGTCCTCGGCAAGCTTCCTGCCCTTCTCGTCCTCATACTCGGGATGCGAAGGAATCACCGAGAACGCAAGCGTACTAAACTTCTTGAGATGCCGGAGCTCCTCGGCCAGCAAGTTAGATTTCCTGGAAAACGTGGCCTTTTTGAGCAGCAGCCTGGCGCTCCGGCAGTAGAAATTCAGCGGCAGCGATCGCTTCTCCATAATCTCTACCTCTCTAGCCCGTGACCCTGGCGATCTTGCGCATTTCTAACGTAGAGCACCCAAATCATCCATCCTATCCAGGCGCCTGTTGGATCGGATCATACCTCAAGGCATTGCGCAGGGATCCGGCGGCTCCTTCTCGCGATTCTTGGCGGCGATCGAAGAACCCTAGCCCTGGCGCCGTGCGAGAGCTTTGAAATCCAAGCTCCCTCCCTCGAAATATTTTTTTGCCCTTTCCACGTCACTCTGGCTTTTAGGGATAGGGCGGTTATAAAAGAGGGCCGTTGGATTTTGGGGGCCCTTGAATGGGGCCATTGGACCATTGCCCCTTCCATGCCGCCATGGGATGAATGGGTTTTATTTGCTCTCCTCTTCCTTCTAGGGTTTTAGGAGAGCCGCCCTTCCACCACGAGATCCATCCATCACTCCCAAGCGCCAGGTACATTCTCTAGAAATCTTCCGGTAGCCCGGGGAGCTAGCGGCGAGAATTTCTTCCATGGCGCTAGCTGCTGCTGCTACCAGGGCGATCTTCTCCAGCTCCGATATTTCGCGCTGCATCGCCGAGAGCAGCGCCGAGCTTTGCTCCGCCAGAGGAGATCGTGGATCGTCGGCTCGTTTCTCGCAACTCAGGCTAAGAGCCTCGATATCTCCATTCACTGAGAAGGATTCGATCAAGAAAGTACGAGGAGGGGGTAGGCTAGAATTTCGCAGCGGCGGTGTAGAAAATTCTTGTCCAGGATGCCGGGAAGAAACCTCCGAGAGTTCTCGTGAAGAGGAGAACGATATAGCAACGAGATTGCCAGAGCTGCGAGAGGTTCTGGAACTGCTGAGAAGGCAGCGCAAGAAGGAAGAAGGAAGCGATCCATCGTCGCCCTCCAAGAGATGGAAAGCAGGGAATGTGTTCCTGGTTGGAACTGGGCCTGGAGATCCCGAGCTTCTCACTCTCAAGGCAGTGCGTTTGATGAGGACAGCCGACTTGGTCTTGTACGATCGGCTTGTTTCTACGAGCATCTTGGACATGGTTCACGAAGGTGCCAAGCTGCTCTACGTGGGAAAAACTTCCGGTTACCACAGTCGCACCCAGGTAAGCCACACTTTCTTCTTGTTTCCTTCTTTCATTTTGATCGTTTCTAAGGAGGAAGTAAATTTCCTGGCATCTCTTGGTTATAGGACGAGATTCATGAGCTGCTCCTCAATTTTGCAGAGGCTGGCGCCACCGTTTTAAGGCTCAAGGGAGGTGATCCTCTGGTATGAACATTCTCTCTTAGTGTTATATTTCTCCTCAAGGCCATTCTTGCAGGTATTTGGTCGAGGAGGTGAAGAAATGGATTTCCTCCAAGAGCAAGGAATTGCTGTGACTGTCGTCCCAGGTAGCTCGAAATCCTTTCCTCCTCCCAGCTGCTAGTTTCTCAAACTACATTATCTTCTTTCGCAAGGTATCACTGCAGCGTCTGGAATTGCTGCTGGACTTGGGATACCTCTCACTCACAGAGGCGTCGCAAACAGGTAAAAGTTCCATCTTTCGTGTGAAGTTCGTCTCATTCATACCTCGTTGCATGCAGCGTAAGATTTCTCACGGGTCATGCAAGGAAAGGAGGGAAAGATCCCCTCTACGTCGCAGAGCAAGCGGCAGACCCCGATTCTACGCTTGTGATCTACATGGGACTTGCGACACTCCCAGCTCTTGCAGAGAGGTTTATCGCAAATGGACTTCCTCCCGATACTCCGGCAGCCGCCATAGAACGAGGCACCACAGAGCAACAGCGAACGGTACGCTCCTTTCACCACTCTCATCTCCGCGGCTTAGCAATCTTTCTCGATTCGCTTTCAGGTATTTGCCGAGCTCGCCAATCTGCCGAGCGAAGTAGCAGCAACTCAGCTCGTGTCTCCCACTCTGATCTTCATCGGACGAGTGGTTGCTTTGTCGCCGCTATGGCCGGAGAGATCTACACCAGGGTCTGCTAGAGCTGATGAAAACGAGCCCAGAGACAGGAGCTCCAGAGGTCCCGACCCCGTCCTGCCCAGCCAGCTCTCAAAGTGATCATAGTGATCGTCCGTTCGGCCGATGAGAAGTCACGAAGACAATCGTGGCAACTTCTCTCGAAGATCAAGAGCTTTTTTGGATCGTCCCTTGAATTTACCGAGAAGAAATTCAGTGACTTTGAGCTTGTGAAAATCGTTTAGTATAGCCAAAGCTACACACACCATGATCGTCAATGGCAAAAATCTTTCAGAAAAAAGAAAAAGTTTACTCTGGCGCCTCACGAATTCTTGACGACGATGACGCCAAAGGCTGGGTGTTGTGAGAATTGCAACGACACCTTGAGCGTTTCGCCTGGCTGAGATCTGTCCACAATCTGGAGCGCTACTTTGTTCCTCGACACAACCTGCTCGAGCTGCTTTATCTCCAAAATGCTTTGCGCGTGGCTCAACTCCGGAGTTTCACCGCGTGATATGCTCAAGTTTCGCAAGCACTGCTCCACAGCCATGAACTGCTTGCATGCATACTGGTAGAGATCACTGGCCTGCACGATTGAAAACAAAAATTCCAGATGGAAACACGGCAACAAGGAAAGAAATCATGTACCGAGTACTGCCGTAGTCTTGTAGTTTCTTTGAAACGAGCAAACGATAGTGGCGACGGTACCAACAATTTCAGCAGCAGCTCGAATCGTTGAGTATATCTCTGGAGAAAAAGAGAAAGTTAAATCATAAGCAAAGCAGAAAACAAACAGGACAACCTCTCGCTCGGTGGTGAATTCCATTTTTCTTTGCTGGATTTTACCGTCTTTGATCAGCCCGTCAAGCATCTGAAAACATGTGTAAAGAATGTATGAACTCTAGAGTGCAACATACCCAAATATATCCTTTGCAGAGGTCGCTCAGGCAATGCAGCAAGATAATTTTTGGGTCTGGGTTCTTTCCTGGTTTTTTCTTTTTCGACTTCTTCTTGGCTAGCAACAAGAGACGCCCTCTGGTGAGCCCACTGAAACAAAAGTTTTGCAATCTTTGCTTCCACAAGGCCCGCCTTGCGAAAACAAATGAGTTTTAGCACCTGCTACAAGTGATGACGGCTTCTTTTCTTCAGACTGTTCCTCGTCCTTTTCCTTCTCTTTCGCCAGTTTGTAGTGCAAATATGTCAGCAGGACGTGATCAAGGTACCTGTATCCACCTGGACAACATAAATGTGAACGAAAACTATAATCAACTTACCGATAGACCATGCAATAGTCATCTGACGAATACAAGCCAAGGTCGAATCCCAGCATTAAGTATTGCTTTGCGATCCAAGAAGCCTGGCAGCCTATCCATGTCGTAAAAGGCTCACACTGCCAAGGCCAAAATCAAGAGACGTAACAATTTTGTGATACCAAGACCAACGTGCCTACCTTCTTCTTGAATTCTTCCGAAGACATACCAAGAACATCCACCTAGAAGAAAAAACAGTATTAACATCTCTTTGACAAGGGGTGGTAGCTTACTTGATGAAACAAATCACTCCATTCGTCTAAACTCTTCCCGAGCTTCCGGCATTGCCATGCCGGATGTGCGCACAATACCTTCAGCAAAGTGAGCGTTAACTGCAAACAAACGTTTTCATTAGCCTATGGCTAAAAGGACATCTTCAGTTAACAGACCCATCCAGCTTGCTGAAAAGAATTCTCCAGCACATCGTCGCGAGGAGCCTCATGACGAGAATAAGCAGCCTTGTAAATCACATCATTCATAGGCCGGATACCAAACAGCTTGTTGTCTTGAATTACAAGACGCTGGTTGCAAGAGTCATCCATTAGAAGAGACAATCATAAAAAGAAAAAAGGTACCTGCATTCGGGCCCTTGCCACAAGATCTGGATGTGACTTTTGAAAATCAACAATCAGCTGCATGAGTTCTTCGAGTTCGATATCGAGCGGCACCGAGCACACGCGATCCAAATCATTCAGCAAGCGCACAAAATAGTCCAAGGCCTGACAGACTACCAACGATGCAATATGAACTCGAAAGCACGGTGAAATTCCCATGTAAATGCTTACCTCGGACCATGGGAGCAGTTTCATCGAGCGGGGAGGAGTCGGTGGCAAAAGGGACCGGTTAATGTTTTCGAAAAAGCCAACCACACCACGCCCCGAGGCTGTTGTAGACGAAAGATTGTTTGGATCTTGAGAAGCATGCTGAGAAGAGAGAAAAGCTCTTGACTCCCGGATGAGTGAGAGCTCAGTCAGAGCCGTGGCAATGTGTTTTCTTGCAGTTTCTAGGCCTTTCCCTTGTGGCTTGTTCATATGAACGTGTATTTGACTGAAAGCCTGCACAATTAAAGTGAGAAACCATCGACAAGACGAGAGCGGTAAAAAATACCTTTCGAAAGCGGAGACGACTGAGCACACTCTGGCAATAATCGGCTTCGAGTTCTGGGTTTTCCTGTAGGGGAACAACACCTGTAAAAATTACATATCAATGATTGACCATCCAAGAAAAAATCCAGCCAATAAGAAATACCACTTGCGGGCTTCTTCCCAGACGCCGACTTCGAGCTTCGTGCGTCGCTCGCAGCCTTCTTCCCAGACGCCGATCTCAAACTTCGTACACACATTTCCTCCGCCCCGTTGAGAACCGCCAGGCAATCCGCGTCATCGTGGTCGATTGGAAGTCCGAAGGAAATAACAAAGAGATCTTCCTCCTGCAAGCCAAACAGGAAACACGAAACCAACTTAAAACAATACATGGAGCACAGACTTCAGAAGAAAAGAGAGAAATAACCTCGTGAGTGTGAGCCAAAGCCACGGCTGTTCTTACGATGTTGCAGCTTGCTCGAGTGATCTTGCAGTACGCATGCAAGACCGGCATTGACGAGGCGTGCACCAGCTTGAGCATGTAGATGCTCGAGAAAACTGTTTGTGCTAAGGAATGACCCCTGTGCCAAGTAGCCTGGAACACAGGAACAAAGTAAAAATGAGAATGCTTCTCCTCGAGCTTTTCCTAGCTTGCCCACCTCACACGAGAGAAGATGATCCATAATATCGATGATCTGCGCGATGGACAAGTCGGTCGGGGCCAAATCACTCGCAATCGCGTCCTCGACAGACTTAGGTCCTCCAATATCCATCCCTCCATCCATCTTGGGATCCATAATCTGCCCAGGCACACACCATTAGCAGCGCTGCTAGCGCAATACCTCGAAATCCTTGCCTCGAGAGCCGACATTGATTCGAAGAGGCTGAAATTCTCGCCATGGATGAGCTCCCCGGGACTGAGCTCTGGAAAAAAGAAGCAGCCGAGCTCAATGCCGCCGAAATCGCAGGCGCGATGAGGGGGAGATTGTTGCTTACCTTGGCAGACCTGGGAGATGATCTCCGTCGCGTCGGCCCAAAGCGTCTGGTCGCCGGCAGCGGCCGCCATGGAAGCTCCAATCAAAAACCCTAAAACCCGAAAGAATGCTTAGAAATCAAGATCTTATCGTACATCCTACTATTCGCGACCATGCTGGCCGTGGAGACGTCGCCCCAGCGCTGGATTCACACGACTTGAGCGTCCACGACATCGAGAAGCCCAGGAAGAACTTTCACGTACGGAGAGGAAAAGAGGGACAAGCGGAGATCATCGCTGAGCAATGCAGGTCTCCACTCGCATGGAGCGACCAGAGAAAGACAACATAAGCCTCCATAGCTCCTCAGTCAAAGCGCATGCTCTTCCTATTGCGAAAAGATTTGGAGATGCTGTGACACGAACCACGGGAATATTCCGAGAATATTCCATGGCCTGTGGGATTTAAGGCCGTAACGCCTTAAGGGTTGGGAGGTTGGCTAGGGTTCGCTCTCTTGTTCGTTTCATTGGTATCGGAGCAGCACGTTCTTTTGGGGATGGCGGGTGAGCAAGATATTGATCCTGATAAGGAGTATGGCGTTAGTGAGGATAGCCATGACGATGCGGAAGAGACTCTTGATGATGTCGTTCTGCGGCAAGGACGCCAGATTTCTGCAGTTCAGAGTGACATAAAGGAGGTTAAGGATTCCGTCAATCTCATCAAGGATTTCTTGCTTCGCATGAACCCTCAAGGGTTGAATCAATCTCATGTCCGTGATTACCATTGGTACGTCAAGCATGCCAAGGATTATGGTATCGTGGAATGGAAATCATCACCGGATGTTTGTGATAGTCAAGAGGTTGATTCTTGGTTGGAATTGTGGGAAAGTTGTTGGTCTCACAATCCTTGTGAGGATAAGGTGAAGATAGATTTCTTTGTGACAAAGCTTACGGGCCATGCTTCTTCGTGGTGGAAGAACTACATCAAAGCTAATCCGATGCCAACTTCTTGGACTGATTTGATAAAGGTTTTCCGCGCTTCGTTTGTCAAGAAGTTTGAAGAGGTTGATCTCGTGAATCAGTTGTTAGAGATCTGGCAGGGGACTTTGTCTTTGGATGCGTATGCCCGCAAGTTCCGTGATCTTTGCCTTAGTCTCATGGGCACCTATAATGAGCTGCTAAAGGTGCAATGTTTTATCAAAGGATTGAGCTCGGTGGATGTGCAGCAGAAGGTCAAGAAGGATTTTCCAGCAACATTGACTGATGCTATCACTAAGGCTCAAATCTTTTCGCCCAAACCGTCGGTCAACTCGGTCAACGCTGGTCAAAAGGATGGTCTCCGGGGTGGTCAACGTGATGACCAACCCACCAATACTTCATTTTCAGGGAAGAAACGGCCATTGCTTCATCGTAGCTCGAAGAGTGGAGATGGCAATGAAGCAAAAAGACATCGGTTAGACCAACGAGAGAAGGACAAGATGGAGGGCAATTGTTTTCGTTGTCATAAGGCTGGACATCATGGCAAGGATTGTCCTCTTGTGAAGGGATCAAAGAATGCTAAGGTGAATGTGGTGGAATCCATCGTGGATACAGCTCAGGCATCTGTTGTGGTGGCTCTTCCACACCCTGTGGCAAAAGTTCAAAAATCTAAGTCTCGAGTTCGTATCAACTCTGTAGAGATTAATGGTTCTATGCGCAATCAACTTGTGAAGGCCAAGGGGGACATTCAAGGACATGCTGTTAGTATTCTTTTCGATCCAGGTGCTACACACAATTTTTTGAGCTCTAAGGTGGTGAAGAACCTTGGTTTGCCTGTGGAAAAGAGTTCAGTAATCTACGAGGTGGTTATGGCAGATGGACATAGCACTCGTGTTTACGGTGAATGGGCTCCGAGTGTTCCTTTGACGGTTCAAGGGATTCTCGACCATCCTTCGTTTCAGGTTATGGATCTTGGTCGCACAGACGTTATTCTTGGGAAGGAATGGTTTTATGACAGGAAGCCAGGGATCGATTGGGAGCGCAATGTTCTGCGTATCGAAGTTGGTGGCACTATCAAAGAGATTGTCGGGACAGACAATAGTGATACTCCATTGATTAACGCTTTGGAGTTGGTGACATGCATGCATGAGATAGCTAATTCTTTTGTGGTGTACCCGTTTCTTTCTAATATGATCATGTCTGATTTGGAGTACGTTCGTGGGCATGAGGCATAGGTGGATTCCATTCAGGAGGAGTTCCGTGACGTATTTCCGGATGAGTTACCTGATGGTTTGCCTCCAGAACGTGGAATTCAGCATGAAATTGACTTGGTTCCTGGAGCTACTCCTTTTCAGCGACAACCGACTCGTACTAGTCCCGCTGAAGATGAGGAGATTAATAGGCAGCTTGCTGAATACCTTCGGAAAGGGTGGTTACGGATCAGTAAGTCTCCTTGGGCTGCTCCAGTGGTGATGGTCAAAAAGAAAGATGGTACATGGCGTCTCTGCGTGAACTACAAGGGATTAAATGATAGGACAGTGAAGAATATGTTCCCGATCCCTCGTATCGATGATTTGCTTGATCGTCTTCGTGGAGCTCGATATTTTTCGAAGATTGATTTGAGGCAAGGATATCATCAGATTTGTGTCCAGCCAGAGGATGTTCCGAAAACTGCATTTCGGACAAGGACAGGTCACTACGAGTTTTTAGTGATGCCGTTTGGTTTGACAAATGCTCCTGCAACTTTTCAGAGATTGATGAATCACGTTCTACAACCTTACTTGGGAAAGTTTGCAATTGATTATTTTGATGATATCCTGGTATTCAGCTCTTCCATGGAGGAACATGAGATGCATGTGCGAAGTGTTTTACAACTTTTGAGGGACAACAAGCTCTACTCGAAGTTATCCAAGTGCGAGTTTTTTTTAGAGGAGATTGGATATCTCGGGCATTTGATTTCAGTACATGGAGTGAGAGCTGATCCCGCAAAGATTCAGGCCGTGGTTGATTGGCCTATACCTTCCACAGTGCATGATCTCCGTAGTTTCCTTGGTATGGCTGGAGTTTTTCGACGATTTGTGAAGGACTTTTCAGGGATAACAGCCCCTTTAACTGATCTTCTCCAGAATACGTCGAAACATGCTACTATTCATGGTTGGGATGAGAAGTGTGAAGTGGCATTTCAACGTTTGAAGCAATGTTGTATCTCTGCTCCGGTGTTGAAGATTTTTGATCCTGAAAAGCCTCTTGTGGTCGAGACAGATGCAAGTGACATTGCTATTGGAGCTATTTTGCTTCAAGTTGGGCATCCTCTTGCGTACATGAGCCATAAGTTTGATGCCACACAGCGGAATTGGCCTACTCGAGACAAGGAGTTGTATGCTGTGATTGCTGCTGTGAAGGAATGGCGACATTATCTCTATGGATCGGACTTCCATGTGGATTCAAACCATCAATCTCTCCAATATTTCAGTCGACAAAAGGATCTTCGAGGCCACCTTGCTCGTTGGCATGAGTTCCTACAGGAGATGTCTGTTAAGATCCGGTACAAGCATGGAGGTGATAATAAGGTGGCTGATGCGTTGTCCAGAATAGTAAATTCTATCTCATTCATGAAGCTATCCAGCGATCTCTTGGATGAGCTTAAGGAGTTTGTTGACTTCGACTCCTTTATCATTGATATTCGTGCGAAGGTTTTGTTGAGGGACGCCTCTACAGATTTAAAGGGTGACAAGTTTGCGTCATTCGAAATACGAGATGGAATCCTGGTGAAGAAGGGACGTGTAGTAGTTCCTCGTGTTGACAAACTCATCAAACGGATTTTGGTTGAGTGTCATGATGTGCCAAGTGTTGGGCATCCGGGGGTATTGAGAATGTATATGTTGGTGAAGAGGCATTTCTTTTGGCCTGGGATGAAGTCAGATGTTGAGAAGTACGTACGTGGTTGCTTGACCTGCCAGGCGGTCAAAGTTGATCATCAGAAGCTTGCTAGCCTCTATCATCCTTTACGTGTACCCAAGAATAAGTGGGATAGCATCTCGATGGACTTTATCACTGGTTTGCCCAAAACCTTTCGAGGAAATGATGCTATTTGGGTTGTTGTGGATCGTTTGACGAAGATGGCTCACTTCTTCCCTGTGAAGACAACGATAAAAGCTTCTGAACTTGCTTAGTTGTTTGTAGACCGGTTATTTAGTCTCTATGGTTTGCCGGGTGACATTGTGAGTGATCGGGATCCTAAGTTCACGTCCAAATTTTGGCAAACGGTCTTTGAAAAACTAGAGACTAAACTGAGCATGAGTAGTGGTGAGCATCCACAATCTGATAGGCAGACAGAACGCATGAATCAACTATTAGAAGATATGCTACGGTCTTTTGTGGGAAACTTGACTCGACAGGGAGTATGGGAAAAATACTTGCCTTTGCTTCAGTTTGCTCACAATAGCGCTTATCAATCGGCTATTGGCATGTCTCCTTTTATGGCGATGTATGGCTATGAGCCTAGGTCTCTTGTGAGTTTGAATTTGGCTTTAGTTCGGGTTCCTCATGCTTGTGATTTCCTGGAGGATATGCAAGACAAGCTTGAGTTGGCAAAATTGAACATGAGGCAAGCTCAAGAACGAGACAAAAGATTGGCTGATGAGCATCGTCGTCATCAAGAGTACAAAGTTGGTGATAAGGTTTTCCTTAAGCTGTCGGATGCACAACGATCTCTAAAAGGAAGTGGTAGTGCTAAGTTGTCCCCATGGTATTGTGGGCCTTGGACAATTTTACAGCGTGTGGGGGATCTTGCATACACTTTGGATTTGCCAGTTAGTTCGAAGATTCATTCAACGTTCCATGTGAGCAAGCTTAAAGCATGTTTGCACTCTGGTGATATCGTGGATCAGTCCATCATCTAGGTTCCAGAGATTGATGCAGAGAAGGCTGGTCCGGCCAATATTCTTGCTCAAAGATTGGTGAAAACACGCCGGAAAACAACTAGGGAGTTGTTAGTTCAGTGGAATGGTTATTCCATGGACGAAGCTACATGGGAAACTGAGGATAACGTGAAGAGAGTGTTTCCGAGTTTTGGTTATGACTTGGATGACATTCCTGAGGAAGGGGAGAATTGAGTTCTATAGCCGTATTGCTATATGATTTGAGCCGTTTGTTCTATTCTCATTCTCTTGTTTCCATGACCGTATTGTCATGTGAGAAAGCCGTATTGCTTTCT